GATGGTGTCCCTCAGAGGCCTAGCCAAGGGCCTGGCGGGCAGGGAGCATGGGGGTGCTTGACCAGGAGTGGTCAAGGTGGAGATGCTCTTTCCTGGGGTGCTTGGGGCTGCAGCCCAGGCAGGAAGGTGCACAGCTGGGAGGAGCCAGGTCTTGGCTAGCGCCCGGACCCTGCCGGGTAGAGGTGTCTCCTGCCCAGCCCCACAGGAGCCCAGCATCTACCCACTAACTGTCAGATGCCTGGTGCCCATGGCAGGCCCTGCCCAGAGCAGTGGCCTCCAGTCCCCACTGAGGTCATCACGGACCTTCTAGCCTACACGGGAGCCCAGGTTCCAGAGTGAGAGGCAGGGGCACCCAGCTAGGAGGCATGCTTGGGCCAGGTACCTGAGGGCCAGACTGAGGAGGAAGCCCTGGGCCCAGATCTCATATGGCAAGGCCTGCTGCCCCCTGCCCAGTGGGCCCAAAGGACATTTGCAGAAGGAGGGACCCAGTGGGTGCTTGTGGGAGGGATAGGGAGGGCTGCCTTTTAGAGGGTCCCAACCAGATGGAAGGGGCAGGAACCAGGAGATCCTTGAAGCCCCCTCATAAGCCCTAGCACAACAGATGGGGCCTGGGGATTGGAAAGCCGCTTCTGGAAACTAGATACTCAAGCCAGGGCTCTGGAGGAGCAGGCCTTCCTCCTCCAGGGTGTTTGGACCACAATGGCCAAGGAAGGCTCATCTCTGGACACCAAGAGTTCCTGCGGCCGTGACTGGTCTCCTGGAGGCATTCCCCCAGCACTCAGGGGGATCATGGTGTGGACCTGCTGTTTGGACTCTGGCCAACTCCAAGGGCTCCAGGGTAGACGGGACCCTGAAGTCCACAATGCTCACTCATTTGAGTCCATAACACATCACACAGAAGCCTTGGGGCCAAGTCCCTCCTGAGAGAAGCCGGGGCTGGGGCCTTCCAAGTCCTGCTCTGGACTTTTATTTGACACAAGGAGAGAGACAGTGAGAGAGGGAACACAAGCAAGGGGAGTGGGAGAGGGAAAAGCAGGCTTCCCACCGGGCAGGGAGCCCAGTATGGGGCTCGATCCTACAACCCCATGACCCTGGAATCATGACTTGAGCCAAAGGCAGATGCTTAACGACTGAGCCACCCAGGTGCCCCTATCCCCTTCACTCTTACCCTTCCCTTGGCTTCTGAGCTGAGCCACCAGAGGGGAGAGGTAGCTAGGCTAGGAAGGGCGGAAGAGGTGGCCATCCCCAGTTGTCAGCTGAGGCCAAGCACACACAGAGATAACAATAGACCAATAAGGCCCAATCAGGCCTGGAGCCAACACCCGGAGAAGACTGGGTTTGCTTAGAAGCTCCAAGTCGGCCTCAGATAGAGACGGCGCCCCATGTGCGTGCCCAGCCTCTGTTAACACAGATTGGGCTGAGTAATTTAAAACATCAAACTGGATTTATTGACAACTCATGAATCAGGCAGCACCCCATCTAGCAAAAAGAATGGAGCTTTGTTGAGCTGCAGAGAAGGAAAGGTTTTTAAAGGTAGAGAAGGAACAGAAGAAAGGAAACTGTTATCAAGGAATCCATTGTTTTAGGCAAGGTCACCCACGTAAGGGAAATGGAGGGATCTCTCAGTAAATTCGCTGGCGCTGGGCTTCCTGGGTGGCTTGGTCGTTAAGCATCTGCCTTCGGCTCAGGTCATGATCCTAGGGTCGTAGGATCGAGCCCCACATTGGGCTCTCTGCTCAGGAGGAAGCCTGCTTCTCCCTCTCCCACTCCCCATGCTTGTGTTCCCTCTCTCGCTGTGTCTTTCTCTGTCGAATAAATAAATAATCTTTAAAAAAAAATTTTCATGGTGGAAATTCCATGTGGACTGGTCAAAGGATACATGGGGGGAGGTGCGGTGCAGGGGGGTCAGGACCACAGTTGGGTTAGGCCTTAGGTCTTGGCTTTGCTGATTTAGTGCCCTTAACATAAGTGAATCCATCTTGGGCCTGTGGTTTTCCTTTCAACACCTCACAGCATCTGCAACGCAGCTGTCTTTAGGGAGGGAAAAACTGGCAGGGTTGGGGTGGGCAAGGGTGGACACCTCCTCACAGAGTCAGGATTCAACTAGGGGCCCCTGAGCCGGGCCTTCTCCCTTTTTGCAACTGGCCCTGGTTCTCTCAGGCTCCAGACCTGGCCCTAACCCCTCCCCACCTCATACCTTCATGAGCAGGGGTGTGAATTCATACCAAAGGAGCGTTGGCCATGCTACCTCATGACTTCTCAACTCTAGAATATTCTGTCCAGTGATAGGCACTGCCTGTCAGTCTCCCTCTGATCCAGCAGTCACGGCAAACTCAAAGATAACCTTTTAAGGTCAAAGGGAGGAGCAGGGGTAAAGCTCCTAGGGCTGTGAGTGGGGATGACAGAGGTGAGAGGTGGCCCTTGGTGACTTCAGAGGGCACGTGGGCTTTGGTAGCAACATCATTTCCCCAAAGCTTTGCTCATCCTCACTTTCTGCTTTTTCATCATCCTGAGAAGCCTGAGTAGGTGGGGGGTTCGCTGGCATCAGGGAGGTAGAGGCTGCCCTGACCCCCCCGTCTCAGGACCCCTTGAGTCCCTTCCCTCAGGGTCCACCACCCAAAGCCCAGACTAGGGGAGAGGGTTCCCCTGTAGCAACTAGAAGAGCCAAGGAGGCCCCGGAAGTCATCTGAGGCCAGTGAGCTCTCAGTTCTGCCTCAGGCCAGGCAGCTCTTCTGGTGACTTCTAGGAGACACCACCAAGGGCTAGGACCCTGCACTGCCTCCCGTGGACAACCAGGCCCCCATGAGGAATCTGCTTCCCTCCAGGACAAAGCTGGGATCAACCATGGCAGAAACAGTCCTGGGGGCCCAGGCCTAGGCCCCTGGGCGCCACAGCCCAAGACGTGGCCATAGCCGGCAGATGGTATCGATGTTCTCTCAAGAATGAGACCGAGTCCTTGCACGCACTGTGACCCAAAGTACCTGGTGTCCAGAGCAGCAGGGTAGAGAGCCCTGCTTTGGGCCCCAGCCCCCCAGCCTGCTTCACCCAGTGCAGGCCCATGTCCTTCATTGTCCCCCCACCGGGATGGAGCTGGGACTGCTGCCCCAGAACCCTGCTTTGTCAAGCTGTCTCATTTGCAGCAGCCAGGCCCAGCTTGAGGGTCTCTGTCCCCTGGGCCTACAGGAGGGGCCAAGTCCCTTAGGGATCAGCTGAGATCCAGGGCCACCTCTGCCAGCTGGGGAGCAGAAGACTCACCATGAAAACACTGCCTAGTGGGCTTTCATTGGAGAAAGGGTATCTTACCCCGGGCCAGGCCCTGGTGTGGGGTCCCTGGGAGGGCCAGGATCTGGGTCCATGAGCGCAGGGTACATATTCTGTCCTTCCCTGCCAGGAAGGTCCACTTTCAGCTGCCTCCCCTTCCCTGGAGGGGAACCAGGAAGTAGTGATGGGGTTTTGGAATATAAGTGAGGTTCAGTGGGGACCGACGACAAAGAAAGAATTCTTGAGGGCACCTGGTTGGTTCAGTCAGTTAAGCATCTGCCTTGGGCTCAGGTCATGATCCCAGAATCCTGGAATCAAAGCCCACACTGGGCTCCCTGCTCAGCAGGGAGTCTCTTTCTCTGCCCCTCTCCTGGCTGGTGCTTTCTCTCTCTCTCTCGCTTGCTCATTCTCTTTCTCTCTCTCAAATAAATAAATAAATAAATAATTTTTTTAAAGAATTTTTGAGACGTCTTTGGTGCAAAATGATGTTTTATTAAAGCACGGGGACAGAAGCCTTGGGCAGAAAAAGCTGCCACCCCAGGGTTGTGAGCGGTGACTAATTATATACTTGGGATTGGTGCAGGGGTAAAGAGGAGGGAGATTTCAAATGGATTTTCCTAGTTAAAGAAGACTCACAAGATACTGCCTTTGTCGGGGCACCTGGGTTGCTCAGTGGGTTAAAGCCTCTGCCTTCGGCTCAGGTCATGATCCCAGGGTCCTGGGATCGATCCCCGAGTGGCATCAGGCTCTCTGCTCAGCAGGGAGCCTGCTTCCTTCTCTCTCTGCCTGCCTCTCTGCCTATTTGTGATCTCTGTCTCTGTCAAAAAATAAATAAATAAAATCTTTCAAAAAAAAAAAAAAGATCTTGCCTTTGTCAAGTTAAGGTTGTTTTTCCCTCTAGCAAGGCATTAATACGAGGGTAGCTGGGAGCCTCCTGGAGGAGGATATGCTCCGCCCGCTTCAAGCATCTGTCAATGGGCTGCAGCCTATAAGGACATTTTTTTTTTTTAAGATTTTACTTATTTATTTGAGAGAGAGAGAGAGAGCAAGAGAGAGCACAAGCAGGAGGAGCAACAGAGGGAGAGGGAGAAGCAGGCTCCTCGGTGAGCAGGGACCCCCACCCCGCCAGGCTTCGTCCCGGGTCTCCAAGATCGTGACCTGAGCCAAAGGCAGATGCTTAACCAACTGAGCCACCTGGGCGCCCCAGTTATAAGGACATTTCATTGTATCTACATTTCCTTCTGGAAGCTAGGTTGATAGAAATGCAGATTGCTAAAACATTTGTAAACTGAGAGAGATTCACTTCTTGCAGGATTGTGATCTCTGTAAGTTAACTGTTTTTCCTTTCCTTAGCTTTGGGGCATCCAGGAGTGCCTGAGGAATGTCACATATATGAGGGGTGGGTTGTGGGTGTCAGCTTGCCTTCTGTTTTCCCTTATCAGTACCACAGTCTGTTGGCGTGAGGCACTGTCTGACTTCATCAGGTGCCGGAAAGGGCCTCTCCGCACTTACCCCACCCTGGACTTGAGCTGAGCAGAGGCTCCTAGAGGTCAGGGACGACAGCTTGTCCAGATAGGAGACGGTGGACCACACACAAAGGATTCCTTGTCCCTGGCAGAGATGTGGAGCTCTGGGGAATGCCCCTCCCCCCTCCCTGGCCATCCTGCCCCTCACCTTGCATAATCCTGACCTGGGGGAAAGGGACCGAGAGCTTGCCCAATGTTTCAGCCTGAGTTGCTGGCAACTGCCTCACCCTTCCTGGATTTGGCAAAGGATAAATTCGCTCCACCCTGGCGTGAGCCACTGGTCAGGGGACCATAAATAGGGTCCCCGGGGCAGCCTTCTCACTAGCTTCTCCTCCTTAGCTGCTGTCCGGCACGCCAGTTTCCTAAGCCCTGAAGTCATGGCCCGGGGTATCCTGTGTCTGGGCCTCGTCCTGCTGGGGACCCTGCAGGCTCCGGCCCGGGACTTCCTCATAAGTCCGATCCCAGTCCCACTTCTGGTCTCAATCCCCCTGCAGCCCGACTTCCAGGAGGACCAGGTAAGGGGCCTGGAGGGGCAGCTGCAGGGGGGCGCCTGGGGCAGAGTGTGAATGAACAGAGTGAGGAGAGGCAGAGTCTTAGGGAGCGTGTCAGGGCCGGATGGGCTCAGGCTTCAGCTCAGCCCACCCTCAGGTCCCTTGATGGAAGGCACATCCCACTCCCCCGTCCCCACCCCAACTTCGCTGACAAGAGAGTCACTTGAGCGGAACTTGCCAGGTCCACGATCCCTTCCGTAATCCCCACAGTCCTTGCAAGGTGGGGACATCTTCAGGCCCTCTGCATGATAAGGAAACAGGAACAGGGACTTTAGCGGGCCACTTGCCAAGGGTCACCCTGTCCCTACCAGACTCAGGGCTCCCTCCTGGCTGGGGGCCCCCAACTTCTGTGGCTGCATCAGAGCAGGCCTGTGTGGCCAGTCAGGGTCCCCGCTGCCCAGCTCCTGGCTCCCAGTCAGGCTGCCTAGAGGTACCTGCAGGGACAGAGCAGTGGGGGGGCCCCCTGGGGGTGGTTCCTGGGCTCTACATATCACCTGCCACCCCTTCCCGCTGTAGTTCCAGGGAAAATGGTACGTCATAGGCATAGCAGGGAACTCGATTAATGCAACAAGAAGAGCCCGGTTCAAGATGTACACCACCACATACGAATTGAAGGACGACCACAGCTACAATGTCACCTCCACCATGATCCGGTGAGAGCCACCACCTCCTGGGTGGGGGGTGGGGAGTGCGGTAGGGACGCCCCGGGGGTCTGAGAGGCAGACTGATGTCAAAGCCGAGCGACGACTGAAGGTGAAAGGTGGACATTCATCCTACCGTTGGGTACCAGGTCCTCCCGCATTCATCCCCTCCTTCATTCTCTAGATCAATATTTATCGGTCACTTCAGGGAAGACACACAGACAGTACTGGGGATGGATAGTACAGACAGCCCTAGAGAAATGGGAGTGGAGAGAGCAGGGGCATTCTCGAGTGGGAGGAGGGTCACTCGATCCAGCCTGGAATCCACACCCAGGGCTACATCAAGGGCTTCCAGACAGGTGGTCTCTAGGCTGGGCCTCGAGGAAGTTCCAGCTCCTTCAGGAGATCATCACAGGGCTGCCCTGAGCTGGGGCTGATGAGCAGCCCGGAGAGGGGCGGTGGCCGCAGGGCAGGGTCCTCAGACACCAGTACCAAACGGATCTGGTGACAAGCAGGTATGGCTGCAGCAAGGAGAGGAATGAGGGAGGCTGGTTAGTCCCAGGTCGGAGATGACCAGGATGGGGGCAGATGAGGACCTACAGAAGGGAGCCAAGAATTACCCAGCTCCTGTGGGCTTCTGGCTCTGGAACTTGGGGGATGGGGCTGGAGCACTTGCGGTGAAGGGAACAGAAGAAGGGCAGGTTTGGGGAGATGAGCTCTGGGGTGCCAGGGTACCAGATGGGATGCCCGTGAGAGGGCAGGGTTGGCCCAAGAGCTAAGGGCATCCTCGGCATCAACAGACTGTAGCCTTTGGAGCGTGAATCCCCCAGGAAGCTGTAAGATAAGAGGGTTGCATTCAGTGGGGAAGACCAGACCCACTAGAGCAGGGTAGGCCGTGGTCCTCCTGAGGCCAGGTGGGCTGTCTGTCACCTTTTTAAAAAATATTTTATTTATTAGAGAGAGAGAGAGCATGTGTGCACACACGCGCAAGCAGGGGCAGGGACAGAGGGAGAGAGGATCTCAAGCAGCCTGTGCCGAGCACAGAGCTGGACTGGGGGCTCCATCCCAGGATCCTGAGATCAAGACCTGAGCCAAAATCAAGAGTCAGATGTTTCACTGACTGAGCCCCGCGGGCGCCTCTGGACTGACGCTCTTACCCACCACCCATCTCGTTTCCACAGGAACGAGAGCTGTGACCACTGGATCAGAACCTTCGTCCCAAGTCTCCTGCCGGGCCAGTTCACTTTGGGCGACATCAAGAGTGAGTCCTGAGCAGGGCGGGTCTCCACAGGGCACAGACGCCACCATCCTGCGGGGGGCTGGGGAGGAAAAACCGTTCCCGGCCCCCGACCAGGGTGGGCTGACCCCCTCACGGCCACGCTGCAGGTCATGTCGGGGTGCAGAACTACACCGTGCGCGTCATGATGACCAACTACAACCAAGTCGCCATGGTGTTCTTCAAGAAAGTTCACGACAACCACGAGTTCTTCAAGATCACCCTCTACGGTGGGTCCACTCCCACTGCCCCTGGGACCGTGCTCCTGTTCGTGCTGGGGGCGAAGGCCCCAAGGTCGCCTTTACTCTGAGCCCCTGGGAGGTGGGAGAGGGGTCTTCCCGCAGGTCTGTCCCTACCCCTCCCATGAGGAAGGGCTCTGAGGCCTCATTCACAAGTTCAAGACTATTTATGGAGCATTTGCCTGCCACTCACTGGCCATCTTGACCGTAGGGAGGACCAAGCAGCTGAGCACCAATCTGAAGAAGTATTTCACCCGCTTTGCCAAATCCCTGGGCCTCACCGATAACCACATCATCTTCCCTGTCCCCATTGGTAACTGTCAGCTATGGAGAAGAGAAGGGAACATGGGGGACTATCCGGGTCTAATGTTGCCTCACAGGGGAAAGGGGAAGTGGGAAACTCGGGCCCCTGCTGCCATCACTGGAGACCCTGGGAGCCACTTTGGGTTCATGAAGACTGTGCCACGCCCAGGGGTCTGTGGGGCACCCAGCAGGGTGGGTCCCAAGGGTTCCTCCCTGACAGAGAGCCCAAGTCCAAGTTTCCCATCTCCTTGCCTGGCCACCTTCCCCTCTGCCCAGGACTGTTTGTCCTGGGCTGGTTCCCCCTTGGCCCTGGGGCTTGCTCACCACTGACTTGGGAGGTGCTCAGGGGGCCTGGCCTGGACAGGCACCTTCCCAAGGTTGTGGGGCAGTCAGGACTCAGCAGAGAAACGGGCAGAAGGTCTGGTGCCCAAGCAGGCATGTGGCTGGGCCTCAATGGCCACCTCTGGAGAATGGGGGTCACCCAGGTCTGTTTGTCCTCAGGCTTCTCTCCCCATCCCCTGCCCCCATCATCCACCCCTCTGCTGTATCATCCTTGAAGGGAACCCCCAGATCATCTGTGGCTGGGCCAAGCAGGGGCCCAGGGCATCCCAGGGGAAGTATAGGGGCCCTGAAGGTCAGGGATCCCCCCATACACCCCTGCCCATGCTGACCACTCTATCCCCCACAGACAAGTGCATTGATGATGAGTGAACGAGCATGCGGTGAGTATGGCCCAGGAGGAAGGGGCTGATGAGACCCAGGTTTGCCTTTGCCCCCCCCCCCCCCCCCCCCCGCCCAGCACTGCTGCCCTCTTTGTTCCCCTGACTCTCTTTTTTAGGTGCGTTCTGTCCCCACCCCATCACCCTCATGCCGACCTCTGCCCAGGAGGGCACCGCCTAGCTGTCCCCACCAACCTGGACACCGAGAGAGAGCCAGGAGACCCTTCTCACTGCACAGCCCACCAGCTGCTCCCCAGGCTGCCCTTCTGATGGAACCCCTCCTTGCTCGCTAAATAAACACATGCCCCCAAGTCCCGAGTCTGTGCTCCTTGACCCCTGAGCCGTCTGAGAGGGAGAAGAGCAAAGGGTGGGCTCCTGTTAGCATCACTCCCAGGGACTTGGTCCCCAGAGAGAGCTGGGGGCCGCGGAAACAGAGTCCACCTCTGACCAAACACCTGCCGCTCCCAGCTCCGGGCCCAGCCCCAGCTCCAGCCCCAGCAGCAGCCCGCACTGACCCCCGCCCCCCAGCACACTGATGGGCACATCTCATACCCATGTTCAGCCACCTGCAGCAGGGTCCGGGAGCTGCGGGGGTTTGGGGGGACTGAGTGCTGTCACCCACACTTCACCAGGGCCCTGTAGATCCTGGAAGACTGCAGCCAGGGTGAGGGGTGCACAGCGGATAGGGCAGAAGCATGTCCAGCTTGAGGCCGTGTCAGGCACAGAGGGCCACTGGAGGTGGTCCCCTTTCCCTCTGCCAACCCCCCTGTGGGCCCACTGGTGGGTGGCAGTGTCCACGCTGACCCTATTCCCAGTGCTGTCCCTCCCCCACATCCCACCTCTGTGATAACCTTTGGATCACCAAGGTCAGGGCCAGGGGAGGCAAAGAGGAGAATATGCCGCCAGGAAACCAGATTCCAGAAGCCTTGAGGGCTCCAGGCCTATACCCAGCACCTGGCTGGGCCTGTTGTGGGGCCTGACCAGCCCCTGTCCATCCCTGTGTGTCTGCATCACACCACATCGTAAACTTGAACTCCCTCCCTGGCCTCTTCTGCCCTTGCAAGGTCAGAGGCCAGAGGCGGTGAGGTTCTGAAGAAACCCAGGTGTTCCAGCGACTTGCACACTTACCCTTGGGTGGGGTGGGGGGTGGGGAGGGTGGGATAGTGGGGAGATACTGAAGCTCTGAGCAGTCCTAGACTCAGCCCCAAGGCAGCCAGACAGGCCTGAGACCCAGGCCCACCAGATAGGCTGCAGCCTTATAAGTCTGGATCAGGGGGCGCTTGGATGGCTCAGTTGGTTAAGTGTCTGCCTTCTACTTAGGTCATGATCTCAGATTCCTGGGATCAAGCCCTTAATAAAGCCCAGCACAGAGCCCCATGGGGCTCTCTGCTCAGCAGGGTGTCTGCTTCTCCCTCTCCCTCTGTGTTCTCTCTCTCTCTCATTCTCAAAACAAAACAAAGCAAACAAAAAAACAGTGGTCTGGGTCAGGTTCCAGGAAGAGACCAGCTTGCTGCAGCGTTGGCTGAGGGAGGAAGGATGGAGGCTCTCCCCAAGCCCAGAAAGACCCACACTGAGAAGGGCACCCAAGGGACGGCTGGCCAGGGCCCACTAGCTGGCCAAGGGGGTGGGAAGCCGACCCAGGCATGCCTGGTGCTGGGGCTCCGCTTTGGGCAACAGAAACCGACCGCTTCTTTGCTTTGGCCCAAGCCATGTAGCCTCCTGACACCACATGGGCCTGCTGGATCTTCCAGGATCAAACTCAGGCCACAAATGGGCTTTGTGTTTCTTCCCGGGTCACTGGGTTTTTATCAGTTTCCTATTGCTGCTATAATAGATTATCACACACTGGCATCTTTTTTTTTTATATATATTTTATTTATTTATTTGACAGAGATCACAAGTAGGCAGAGAGGCAGGCAGAGAGAGAGAGGAGAGAGCAGACTCCCCACGGAGCAGAGAGCCCGATGTGGAGCTTGATCCCAGGACCCTGGGATCATGACCTGAGCCAAAGGCAGAGGTTTTAACCCACTGAACCACCCAGGCACCCCCACACACTGGCGTCTTAAGACAATATACACTAATTTTCTTACAGTTCTGGAGGCCAAAATCCTGAAATCACTTTCAGTAGCTAAAATCAAAGGGTCAGCAGGGCTGTGCTTCCTCCAGAGGCTCTTGGGGGAGAGTCCCCGTCTTTGCCTTGGGGTTCTTTCTTTCTTCTTTAAGATAGCAGTGCAGCATCTCCGAATCCCTCTCTTTGCTGAGGTCCTCACGTGGCCTTCTTTCTTGTTTGCGGTCAAATTTCCCTTGGCATCCCTCTCTCTAGGGACACTTATGATTACATTTAGGGCCCACCTGGATCCAAGGTAATCTCCCCATCCCAGAATACTTCCTGTAATCACATCAGCTCCCGCCCTTTTTCCAAATAAGGTATTGTTCTTAGGTTCCAAGGATTATGATCCAGTATCTTTGGGGGCAGACCACTACACTGAGTTCAAAGAGGGAACCATGGCAGGGCTAATGAGACGGGGACACAGAGGAGAACAAGGACTGCAGAGGCAGGGCAGCACCAGAGCACATCCCTTTCCCTCATCCGGGCTAGTTGGAGTCGGTCGCTGTTTTGTCCTGTGGTCTGGTTTACGGACCTTGACCATGGCAGTGAGGTGGGCGGAGGGAGAGGCCTTCCCTGGGACCCCAGCACGGCACCAAACTCCAGCGTGCCTGGGGCACCTGCTGTGACTGACCATGAGGTATGCAGATCTGTGCGGATCTGTGCGTGCCGAGGTTTGTTTCTGAGAAACTACGTGACTTTCTGAGGGTTTGTCTGATCCTTCCCCTGTGCCCTGGTGTCTGCGTGTTTCTCCCGTGGTCTAGACATCGAGTCAGGTCCCATTGATCTCATGTGTGATTTCACATTTAAGAGGAAAACACATGTCTGTGTTTTTGTTTGGGTGTCTCGTCCCTACAGGGATAAATGTGTTTGGATTACATCGGCACATCCACACCGGTGACCTGTGTTTCTGTCCTGTCTCTGCAGACCTATGTGCCATGCTCGGATACAGGTGTTTCTATGCCAGTCAGGGCTCATGGGGCTTTGCTTTCTTGGTTGGTGAAATGCCGTGGTCCTAAGGAGGGCCTCTAAGCCACCTGCCAAAGGCAGATGCCCAGGCCTCTTGCTTTCTCAGCCCTGCTTACTGGTTCAAGGCAGTCCTCACCTCCATTCCACCTGGGTCTGGGAGGAGAAGGCGGGGCTGCCAGTGTGCAAGTCAGTGGAGGCACGAATGATAGGCTGTGGACTCCATCTTCCTCAGGGGGATATGGTGGGACATAGCCAGGTCTGACGGCTATCCCAAGGATGTCCTGCCCACAGAAAGCACGAGCATGAGACCAGCACCGGGCAGCTACAGGGACGGGACTCCCAATAACTCAATCAGCCAGACCCCTAGCCAGGATAATACCTCTGGGTCCAGCTCAGGAGCGACAGTGGCTTGGTGGGTGACTTTGGGCAGGCCTCCCTTTCTCACCAGGTAAAAGGGGTGGGGGATGATGGCGGCTGGGCCAAACTTCTCCTGACGCCACGCGCACCACTGTGCCACACAGACCGTGACTCTCACTGAGGCTGTGAACCTAAATCTTCCGAAGCCATAGGGAGCCTTAGAGACAACGCGTTTCAGATTTCGCCCACGCGGAGGCGCCGACTCGCCAACCCGCAAGGCCGCAGCGGCAGGCAGAGCAGAGTGGAGGGGCCGGGGTACCCGCCTCCTTCTCCCTGGCTCCACGCCTCTTCCACCACCTAGGCTTCTGGGAGGGCAGCCGGGGTTGACCCCGCCCCGCGGCCGGGAGGGGGCGGGGATAGGGGCGGGGCGCGACTGTGAGGCAGGGAGTGGGCGGGACTCTGGATGTTGGGGCGGAGTCTGACGGTGGGCGGAGACGCAGTTCTGGCGGTGGGGCGGGGAGGGGGCGGAGCTCGCGCCGCGAGGTTCCGGCCTTGGGGGCGGGGCCCCGGCCGCCCCGCCGCGTTCCGCCGTGCGGTTCCACTCTCCCGGCCTCGCGTTCCATCCGGCGCCTCCACCTTCCGCCCGGCGCAGGCAGTCGGCGCGAGGGTCGCTGGGTTCCACCGTCGCGCGGCCCTCGCGGCGCCCGAACCCGCAATGTCGGGCCCCAACGGGGACCTGGGCATGTCGGTGGAGGCGGGCGCGGAAGGCGAGGACGACGGCTTCGGGGAAGCAGGTGACCAAGGGCGGGCTGCTGAAGCGACCTTTGCTTTCTCAGGGCTGCAGTCCTGGAAAAGGGAAGCGGGGCCGCGCTGGGGGGTTGGAAGGGACCGCAGAGTCCTCCTACTCCTCGCCCCTGGTGCTGCGGCTGCAGGCGCCGGCGAGGGGGGTTCAGGGCGAGCACCTGCGAGTGGGTCCCTGGAAACCGCAGTACCAGAGAACTGCGGGCAACCGGCCCCGTTTTACAGATGGGGAAGCTGAGGCCGCTTCAGGATCACTCTCCCTTTTGGCATTTGCTTCAGCCGCATCCTGTAGCCCCTGGGGAGACGGAGACTCCTGAGGGGATGGGGCGGGTGGTCCATCTTGGCTTAGCGGGTGGATCTGTCTGGGTGGGCGAACCCGCCCTGCTGAGTAAGCATCTCCAGCCACCTTTGCCGGTGTGACCCGGAGGCTTGGCGAATGTGACCTGCTTATAGAGCAGCCTGTTGCCTGCCCAGCACTGCGGGGGAGCGAGGCAGAGAGAGACCCATCAGCTCCCTCTCACCTTGGGGAGCCTCAGTTTCCCCGTCTGTTAATTAAGACTATGATTGGTGTCTCCGGCATTGAGATGTGTCAGGATTAAATGAAGCAGGAAAAAAAAAAAAAAAAGGAAAATATTTAATAGGATTGAAGCATGCAGGTGTTTGGTGAGTGGTTATTTTTCTCTTTAGTGTAATAAAGATTGGTTTCTCAAGCCGAAGGGCAGGACTTAGTAAATGTGAGAAAAGTATGCAGTCTGCTTTTTGTTTTGTTTGG